TATTATTATCATTATTATCATTATTATCATTATCATTATTATTGCACACCGTTGATCTTAAGGCAGATAAGATGGAGCACCTTACCATGTCGGATAAGAGCGAACAATTCCAGGTGCCCCCTATTTTAACAACCGTAGAAGAGTAGGCCGCAAGACCATCACCAGTGCAAACTTCAAAATTCAGAAAGTCTCTTCCAATCCATAAGGATATTCCTATTCCACCTGCTAAAGAGGAAGACGCACCCTTACACGTTCTTTGTTTCCAAGCGTACTGACAATGTCTCCCCTTTGGACCATATCAAATTGTCAAGACTTGAAGGAAGGGAAATAGTACTTGGGAAATCTACTTCCTATTTTTCTACTGCCCAGACAAAGCTGTATCATGTATACTGCTGTAAGATCTACTTCCTCTATGTCTACCACACAAAGCTGTATCATGTATACTGCTGTAAGATCTAGGCCTATTTTCTCTATGTCTACCGCCCAGGCAAAGCTATATCATATACGAATACACCGTGGTTTAGAACTCGAGCTAGTACTGGACTACATAAAATCTACAAGAGCGAGTAATCAAAAGTGTACTGACTACAAATTGTAGTTCAATGACATGCGTACTTGTTCTATCATTCAATGTGGTTAGGTGGTTAGTTAATAATTGTTGTTTACAGAGAGGCAGGACAGGCGTCAGTGATGTTATGGATAGGCGCTTCGCTTTTGCACACTGGACTCCCGAGTTCGATTCCTGAGTTCGATTCCCGAAAAAATTGATTATCTCAGTCCTTTTGCTGGGATGTTGCATCCCTCTCAGCCTAGTCAATATAACTAAGCTTTGTTCCTTTAGGATGTTTCGTTTCTCTTGAAGGCAGTGGTGTTTTTCTTTTGTTATCAGATGTTTCATTCTTGATTTCAAATGTAAAAACAATTACGTCCCGTCAGAGATTAAAGACTGCAGGGTGCAATAACACCCACCATTTTAAGATGGCGACTGCTGCTAAGTGTAAAAACTGAAAGCATGTGTCTCTCTCAATGAATTTGAGCACCAACTTCTTTGCTGATTTCAAGGAAATGTTTATACTTGGTGTTGTTAGAAAATGTATTATTATTATCTGTTTGTGGTGGCCGAATTTTGCTATTCAAAGGGCTTTTTAATGGCTGAATCGATCGACATGCAGTTTTCGCCAAAATATTCTTTAAAATATTCTCCAGAGCATGACGCCCTTGGTCTTTTCAGTTTTGAGACTGTTTTGCTGCAAAAAGCTAAATTTCTTTATTTCGCCGATCGCTTTTGTCGGCCGACGCTTCTGTATCTGTAATTTTAGAAAATCCGGAAGTAATATTTCGCGAGGCGCATTTTGTTTTGAGAGTATAGATCTAGACCTTATAATTGTTTGCATCTCTCAAGATTTATTGCCCCATTCCAGTAGAGTGTAAATATAGTAGGCCAATGACTTTTAGTTGATATTTAAAGCACAGATCATTCCTTTCATCGAAAGGGGGCCCACCTAGTAGATAATAATTTTGCTGTTAAAATTCGCAATGAAAACAACTAAAAAGGTAGGGCAAATTGTGTTGAAGGACAACGAATGAAAATGAATGCAGAGACGCAGACTGAGTTATTGTCAATTTACTCAAGGATTGCAAACGGAAAAGCTTGACATGATGTCAACCTCAAAATATTTGATGTCAAATTTCTCGAAACTTGTACTGAGTGGATATAACTTTGTACTTGTGAGGTAGAGACGTATTTACGTTGACGAAGTGCTCCCATGAAACACTTGTCCCGTACTTGTGGGGTGTGTTGGACATTTACTCTTTGTAGAGGTGCCGAGTTAAAAGTTTCTCAACAGCACGCACACACAGTGCGCTGATCTCTGTACTGAGATGTGTCATAACCAACAGACGGAGCCTCCAGCGTACCTTTCGTAAGATCATCTGCGTGGCTGAAAGACAGAAGTAAGAAGGAGCCAAGGAGAATTAGTAGAAAGGCTGCAGAAAGAGTCAGGAGCCCAGGGGAAGGGGCAAAGGGGGTGGAGGGCAGAAAGTGGAGACGAAAGCAGACGACAGAATATGGTCAGAGAGCAGGAAAGGAGGTGAAAGGAGAACGTTTTATAGAAGAGAATTTTCCGTCGCTATCAGGTTTCGAACCCGGAACCTATTGAATGAGACGCGGACACCATAACCTTTAGACCACGAGAGGCCCCGTTCGCTGTACGTACACAGGTCAAGTTGAAAGTTACCCAACCACAAGTTCAATGCGTTTCTCCGTCATCTGCCATGTGTGACAACCGACAGCCAGAGACTCCAGCCTTGCCCTCTAACGATCCCTCTAACGGTCTTACAAAACGATAACAATCATTCTGTTTAATTCTGTTTCGTCGGACAGTCGTACAGATGTACTAAGCCCTACATTGGGAATTTTTAAAATTGTAGTTTCTTAAATTGTGGCATCAGTTGCATATATCTTACGTAATTACTATTTTTAAAAAAACGCAAGATATGATAATATATGATGTAAAGTATCTAAATGAAACTGTTTACCAAATATTTTAAAGCATTTCGTCTCTCTTCTGAAAAGTTTTACCTTCTGGACATACAACATTTGAACCATCTACCAACCGTCTATTTTTTTTTTGCCAGTTATGCCTCTATTTCTATAAAACAAATGCAACCAACAGTTTTTCTATAAGCTGGCAACCATTTTCGTGCTAATTTTACCCCAGAAACCAAGCGACTCCCACCTCGTTTAATCAGAAATATCTTGACTTCTGTTCAAGATAAAGGAGTTTTTTTCCATCAAAATCGAGGTAAATGAACCAGCTTTGAGAGAATACTAAGAACTTTATAAGCCAATCAATGTCCGTGTTTTTCACCGTCTTGCGACATACTTTTGTGTTTATTATAATGATTTGGGAGTTTTGAAGAAGGCAATGGAAGATATAATCATTTCCCATGAGTTGTAAACAATCACCGCAGGTCGTTAAAGTGTTATGTGATTACGGACTACCTTTGCATGTAAACACCTCGCAAAGTGTATTAACAATGTGTATACAAAAGGCCCAGGGTAAAGAGTCTACGTAATCACATAATCACTTCCTTTCCGTAATTGAAGAAAATGTTTGCCGTCAAAATTGATTTCTTAGACTTAGAGCATCCGAACAAAGAGTGATTGCCGATGTCTGTCAAAACTCTGGCACGGGATGATGATTACTTTCGGAAAGTCCATCATAAGAAGCCTCTGAGCTCCACAGTCACAGAATGGTATCTTTAGAATTCCGCAATAGCAGCAACCACATTAGCAACAAAACAACGACGATGACAACAACAGCAACAACAATACAAAAAAAGCAAAAACAAAAACAATAGCAACAGTAGCAGCAGGAGCAGTACCAACGAAGAAAACGTTTATTTTACCATCTTTATTTGAAGTAAGGTTAGAGAGCCCAAGTCGACTGATAAAAATGTAAATTACATTAAATTAGATTATGCAACAAGAATACAAACACAAGGACATCGAATAATTTCCAAGACGCAGTTGCTGTTTATTTTCACTAACAACAAAAATATAAGTAAGTGAAATAATATTTTAAATGTTGTTTCTTAAAAAAATCAATAGTCCAAACGATGTAAGATTCTGTTCCCCTTCGCGTCCACACCACTCTCGTTCCTTTTTGGAGTGAAGAACTGCAAACTTGTTTCTTGTTTTCTGATCCTAGGCGTTGTTGTTGTGGTGTGGTGCGTGTGTGTGATGGTTAGGTGCGTGTGTGTGATGGTTAGGTGCGTGGGTGTGATGTGGTGCGTGGGTGTGATGGTTAGGTGCTTGGGTGTGATGGTTAGGTGCGTGGGTGTGATGTGGTGCGTGGGTGTGATGGTTAGGTGCTTGGGTGTGATGGTTAGGTGCGTGGGTGTGATGTGGTGCGTGGGTGTGATGGTTAGGTGCTTGGGTGTGATGGTTAGGTGCGTGGGTGTGATGTGGTGCGTGGGTGTGATGGTTAGGTGCGTGGGTGTGATGGTTAGGTGCGTGTGTGTGATGGTTAGGTGCGTGTGTGTGGTGGTTAGGTGCGTGAGTGTGATCGTTAAGTGCCTGGGTGTGATGTGGTGCGTGGGTGTGATGGTTAGGTGCGTGGGTGTGGTGGTTAGGTGCGTGGGTGTGGTGTGGTGCGTGGGTGTGGTGGTTAGGTGCGTGGGTGTGATGTGGTGCGTGGGTGTGGTGGTTAGGTGCGTGGGTGTGATGGTTAGGTGCGTTTGTGTGATGGTTAGGTGCGTGAGTGTGATGGTTAGGTGCGTGTGTGTGATGGTTAGGTGCGTGGGTGTGGTGGTTAGGTGCGTGGGTGTGGTGGTTAGGTGCGTGGGTGTGATGGTTAGGTGCGTGTGTGTGGTGGGGTGCGTGTGTGGGATGGGCGAAGTTCTGGATTTCCCTGGATTTGTTGGTATGGTGAGGAGCGTGGGTGTGGTGGGGTGCATGGGTGTGATTGTCGGGTGCGTGTGTGTGATTGTGGGGTGCATGGGTGTGATTGTGGTGGGGTGCGTGTGTGTGATTGTGGGGTGCATGGGTGTGATTGTGGTGGGGTGCATGGGTGTGATTGTGGTGGGGTGCATGGGTGTGATTGTGGTGGGGTGCGTGCGTGTGATTGTGGTGGGGTGCGTGCGTGTGATTGTGGGGCGGGTGGACATGGGTGTGGTTGCTTCCAGGAGCACACCGCTCGGCGCCGTGGTTGTAGATGCTGATTGGAACAAAAAGAGAGAAAACAAAGTTGTATTGTATTAGTGTAACGCCCTACTAGACACAAATACTATTTCTAGGGTTTGCCTTGAACAGAACCAGAGCTTTAAGAAAAGGCAAGTAGAAAAAGGAGAATTTTATGCATATAACTTAGTTCTGCACACAAATGCAGAGTGCTAGGTGGACCCATTTAAAGAGCAATAACTTGGTCGTTTTCGCACAAATTTTAACCTAACTTCGGACAAATAAAATTCATCAGAGGGAATACCGAAGCCGTCAATATAAAGAGCATCAATTTACATGTTCGTTAAATTTTCAATTGAATTCCTTCAAAGCATTCAGCTGCAGGGGGCGTGTCAGACCATTGTGGTTTGAGAAAGAGGCCGGTAAAGACCACGATTGCCGCATCAAGTGGATATCTCGCCGTTCTGAGATAGTTTAGGAGAATATTGCTGAGGAGGAAGCGCTAAGCTGCTGTGGGGGCCAGGTTCCAGCTTGATGAAGCCACACCAAAGAGGTTTTATTTAGTACAAGAGTTCGTGGCAGTGATGTCCCCCCAAAGAGGTTTTATTTAGTACAAGAGTTCGTGGCAGTGATGTCCCCCACACAAAGAGGTTCTATTTAGTACAAGAGTTCGTGGCAGTAACGCCCCCC